GTCAAAAAGGTTCCTCCCTAGAGGTTAGATTCGCTTGATAGAATACAATACAATTACTACAGCGTTTTGATATCTGTAATGGTTGCAAGTTGGATGAAGATCACTTCCAAACAACTCATTAGGGGCTTACTATTGAATCCAATTCCAATCGATCAACATTGAGATTGGGACATTGTGAAATTTCGTACTCTTGAGTTGCAATACCAGCAGCCACTGCATTCGTATTGCGTGGATATTTAATAAACTAAATGGTATTGAGTTTGACTTTGTATTCCGTATTCTGAATGCTACTTTAACAGCTACGATAAGGGTTGTAAGGCTTGGACATTGAACAATTTTTAAGATTTTATTGGATTTAAATTGCATTAACATTGAGGTTTCGTGTCAAGAGTAGGTAAGGCGACGATGGTAAGATGACGATGGACATCTGCAATATAAAAAGTATGATGAAGTCACTACAACGTACATTTTGTGAGTATGACTGTTCAAATACGGTTTCTAATAAATACAGCAATGGGGTCGTTTTGCCGCGGAGAACTGAACGGGTTACCGGGGCTTCGGCTCAAAGTGCAGGAGTAGGAACGGGGTGGTTTTTAGTCAGTAAGAGTCTGACACTCCCTCCCGCCTCACCCAGGCGGGGGAAGTCATTCGATGATTTTCCCCCTTAAAAAAATGGGATCATATTTAATTCTATGCACGGTTCTCACACATAATTTTTTCAACATATTTGTCTGGACTTTAAAACAGATGGATTTCTCAGTTTGTTTCGGCATTTCTTCTCAGAGCAAATTTTAGCGTCATTTTAACTTTTTAAAAATGTACGTGTGAAGATTATTCCTATTGCTATACGTCTATACTATCCTCATCCCTTTCTTCAGAGGGCAACTTGACACACGTGCAAATATGTTTTTTATTTTATTGACAAAAAATATTCTCCGAGTTGAAGTGTACAAGTAAACAAATAGGTACTTATCGTTATACCTAAGCGAATCAAGTTAGAATTTGATAAGAGTCCCTGAATTCCTGATAAGTAATAAAAAGTTTTTCTGCGAACATAAGTATTAAATCTTTTCCATAATTAGGTATTTACGTTTTATCGGTTCTTAGAAAATTGGGATTGTATTTATTTTCTTTAAATAGGTAACCTACATTTATTTTATATATTTGTGTTATCTTTAGGACATTTATTATTTCTTGTGATTATAATGTAAAGGTCAAGCAAATAACCTCGAATTCAGTTAAAATTATTAGTTTATTTGTAATTTAAAAAGGATTGCGCACAATGTCGTATCTGAAACAAATAATTCTGTAAAAGCAAATAAAAAAGTAGTATCGTAAGATAATGAAACCGGGAATAATAGGGTAGATGCCTAATTTTTATTTTAATGTCCGTCTGGTAGATTATTTTAAATCATTCGACACGTATTTTTTATTTTCTTACAGAAACGAATACTTTCGACGATATATTGATATGAAATGTCGAGTGACGTCACTTCCATGTACATTTTATACGTAGAAATGACGTTTTAGCCCCCACTCCTAAACTTTCATTCGTTTTATCTAAGTATTGTTTTATTATACGACAAAATAAAAAATACGTGTTTAATAATTTTTAATTACCTAACTTACGGACTAATTTTATTTTATAATGTTCATACCCTGTCATCATCACAATTGCATTACATTTGATCAGTCAGTCACGATCCTCTATGGAATTGCAAAAACAAAATTAATGCTGATTAAACATCAGAATACTAATAAATATCATGTTTATAACCAAAAAACTAACCACTTCCAATCACAAAGCAGACAGACAAACAGACAAAGTTTTACGACAGTATAAAATGAAATGCATAAGAAGAAACGTTTGGCAATAAAATCAGGATCGCGCCCACGAGTTGGAGAGCGTGCAAACATGGACGTACTGTATTGAAACGTGGGAGGAACTTGTAGGGGCTCAGTGATGACTGGTAGATCTCACATCATTTCACTTCAAATCATTCCATTAAACTGTCAAACACCAAGCGGTCACCGGTGACCGCAACCTATTGTTCTATAATTGTGTCTATAATGACGGTACTCGACGAGTTAAGAGTTAGGTAGATATATATAACATACACATAAATAACATCACACCTTTTATCCCCGATGGGGTAGACAGCCACTTTTCACTATTTGTGTTATGAGTCCCATGTAATAGGGGGTGAAACTATTGCCATTTACCGGGCACAATTCCAGACTCCGTGCAATAGCACGGAGTCTGAATTTGTGGGAGAATTAAAAAAAAACCAGTAATACTTTGCCGGTCCCGGGAGTCGAACCCAAGACACCTTGCCCGGCAGTCGTGTTTGCGACCATTCGGCCAACGAGGCAGTCTTAGGTAGACATGTTCCATTGTATAGGTAGTGACAGCTAAACAAGGTTACGATTCGCATAATGAAAAACAGTTCATTTGTGGTAAAGCCATGGGATAAAGCTCAGCAAGGGTCATTTGGATGCTGGTCTAACACCATTGTAATAATATATTTATAATCAACATCGACATCACTATACTAATCAGAATTCCAAATGAAGAATCACAATACTTGACCACTCTTGCTGCTTCTTTTCCTGAATTGAATGATATATCACGACCTCTTTGTTCAGCAATCCTTCAACCAATGACAAGTAAGATTCTAGTCGTAGATAACATTACTGTGTCTAAAAAATCTGTTTGATGCTCAATACCACCTCAATAGTCTAGTAAGCATTACACAAAAAAGACAAATATCTACTCCAGAAAGCAACATTTTTCATAAATAAGGTACAAGGCACACAAGAACATTAATCGCTTAGTTTTTCCAGTCACCCTTTAGTCTCACCGCTGTCACTTGCACCGCGCAACTTTACAACCATGTCCAACACTTTGTAGCATGAGAACAGAGTTTTTACTGCAACACTTGGTAATGTCACATTTTTCTCGACAAGATTATTAACTTAGCCATCTCATAGAGCATGGCATAACATGCTTTAAGTTATTCTCCAAAGTAAAGGACATAAATGTAGTTACAGTTCACTCACTTTAAGTCAGTTATGTTGGAGTGCCGTGTCAGCTTACAGACTGTGCCAATTCCAAAATTCAGACGTTCATAGTTATAGTAGGTACGTATAGGTACTGGAGTTGCTTGCTCGTTCTTCTCTATTCGAATCTACTGATCTGTCACTGACGAACAGACTGACAAACTAAAATTTATTTGGTGTTTATTGACGATTCAAAAGTACTGAAGTTTAATTTGTGACTTTAACTTTGACTGTAGGACGAATAAATACTTTGACTTTGACTTTAGGATTTAGGTAGGCCTGTAAACTGATACAATCAAACGTTTGAGATAAAATTTCTGTTCATTGGGTTCAAAATGAAAACATTAAGCTATGATGCTATACATGATAAAAATATATCTTCACGAACATTCTATACAAGCTCTAAGTTCTAGTTCGTTGCTTAAATAATTGTACACGTTATCGCGCCTCCATATTTAAATCCTCATCCGCTACAATTACACCCCATTCATAACAGCTAAACATTTCCATATTCATAAACCAATTTCTTCAACAGATACTTCGAAGGTTCCACAAAACAGGCCTGTCCCATATATTCTGTTGATGGTCACTTCACTTACGATATATCTTAGGACAGACAGACGGACACCTCGTAAATATTATTAGAGACAAGAACGCTAATTGCTTTGTCCATATGTACAGCTATTGGATGAAAGGTAGCAGGAAAGGGTTATGAGAGTGTAGTAAATGGTAATTCTGATGAGCTAATGATCATAATTTTGTAAGCTCAATTAGTGATCAGGACATATTTGCTTAGACGTAATATTTTTTTAGGACACCATGTGATGATAGAGAGTAGCATACCACGCAATGTGCCTCCATCTCTTTCCGCGAGTGTTGACGTAGGAGCAGACTAAGACTAATTCATACTGTATGGCTACCAAAATGTATAATAGGCTTCCAAATGACCTAAAACTAATAAATCTTCACTTAACGTTATTCAGTATAACATTGTTTAGGTTTCAAATAAGTGCTACTATTCAACAAAAGAATTTTAAAGATAAATAAATTTTTCTTCCCTTCTTTCTAAGGACCTACACATTTGGAAGACTGAAGCAGAACTCTCTGATAACTCGATTAAATTTAGTGTTTACTGTGCACACTATTTCTGCTAAAAATTTAAGTCTTAAAAGTATAACCTGCCACCTTGAAATATTTTACTAAACCAAAAATTAAGTCCAATATAGTTCTAGTGGCGTATTACTAATTAAACTTATTACCTTAATTTCGTAATCATTAAAGTATTGTAACATCCATACAGGTGTTAGGTTTATAGATACGATACAATAACCAGCACATATTGAACATTCAGCCTCAATAAAGTATAACAACCTCTTTGGCGGGAAACAACAAATTACACTCAATCTTCGTTCCTCATTCTCAAATGATTATGATGAAGAAGAACCATTAAACAATAAAATAGTCACTCACTATATTACCAAATAATGGTTTATTCATCATTCAAATAAAGCAAACTGTACCGCACTCAAGCTAGTTACTGCCTACATAAAACAATTATCCCAATTCCAAACCAATTTATCATAAAATTGCTTTATCGTCTTCAACAATTAAATAAAATTGGCCGCAATTCGGGCCAGTGAAGACATCAATTCATTAATAGTACAAAATAATAGGGTTTCTAACGCCCAAGGCGTCTCCAGTCGTCGGCGCCTCTCGGTCGAATGCACTCTAAATCTCCAACCTGCATAGACAAAACCCCTACACTCTGATGCAGCCATTTCCCACCCCACCTGAGTATCCGTCTCTCTCTACTCCCTACAATCTCTCACCTATCCCGTTTACACCTCAAAATTACATTCGGCCGTTGTCGTTTGTACTCGGATGCAATAGCCGGTGTGGCTCACAGCTAAACATGATTTCAGCCAGTCGCTTACCGGCCGTCGGAGGAGGTGCATCGCTGCCGGCCGCCGTTCCCGCGTTCGAAACATCGCACCGGTCCGGCTTGTTTGTATAGGGATGTTTGTTCCTAGATAGTGCGCCCCACAAACCCTGAATGGAAGGATTTGTAGTGCTGTGAGACTAAGTGTGGACAACATTGGAGCATATTTATGTGAAAGTGTTTTGTCGTTTGATGGTCAGTTACGATGTTGCAATACTCACGGTAGGCGGATGTGGCTAATGCAGTTAGATCTGTTTGATTGGCAAAAGTAAACATGTGTATGACAGACGTTATTAAAGCTATGTTGCCGTCTGCCGACGTCGCTTTAATGGAACGTGTATAACAAACGGTAACGGAAACGTGCAATGATTTAGTTTCAGCGAAATGTTATGACTTTAACGTTCAGTGGAACATGATATTACCGGAGAAGCGTTGTTTTGAGAACATAAAACTTTACGATGATTAGTCTGCAAAGTGACGAAGGGATTGATGCGAGAGTCAAATATTGAAATAGATTGAGAATGCTCTTCGTAATAGATTATGATAAAACAATTGTAAAGCTAATTGATTTAATTTATTTTAAAAACCATGTGGGTGGAATAAGAGATAACAATGATCGGGCAGTTTTATGTTGAACAAGCAACAAAACAATTCATTATAACAATGGAGTATTGTTTGTGATTGAGTTTAAGCTTTTTTGTTAGGAAATCACTTTTTATTTGTATACAAGCAAGCGTAGATAATAATTTCGGTGGACAAAACAATACTGCACGCGTTAATGAAACAATAGATAATTTGGGCTAGCTCAATGGGTTCCTAATTGGAACTATGAACAGTTTAAGTAATTATAAAACCATTTTAGATGAAAACGTTCAGCAAAAGTATCCATTCATTCGTAGTAGTGGTTTCAATGCCCATTCAAATTCAATAAACCGGGAAGAGGTCTTAGTTTTTTAAATATCTTTGTTCTAAAGCCCCGAGATTATTAAAAGAACTCTGTTGGAAAGTTGGTTTCTATTAGACGCGGTCCAAGAAAGTTTTCCAGACCAATTACTTACTACATAATTGTTGAAGAAAACTTCTTGGAAAGAAATAGTTCGGTAGTTTTAATAAATATTTTGTCGGTGGAATGAAAGACGGGGAAATGAATGGAGTGGACAATACTGGGTCCAATCGAACAGATCTCACCCACGCATCGTGAGACCATCAAATTGACCATTTTATATTTACAGTTATAATTGAGACAGAAACGATAAATGACGGTTATTTGATATTTATTGAACATAAATATAAAGTGACAAAGGATAAAGTTTGCGAAAGAAAAACAAATCCGTTGGAGGGATTTGGGAATAATCCAAGGAGTAATTTTTGCATGTGAGTACGTGTAGAATGTTTTTGCTTGTACCTTTGGAAAGATGAGTCTCTATTAGTGAGCGTAGGTTATTTGAGAACATAATAATGTTATGCACAGATTTACTTGGAGCGTTTTCTTTCTAATGGTATCTCTACATAATGGTGATTCATTTTACGTGGGTTGTTATTTTCATGTTATGTCGTACTCCTTATTTTGATGACATTTGCAAAGAGTTTAGGATGCATTAGACTGTTTCTATCAATCGTCTTTATCAAACTCTAGGAGTATCAATTTTAAAGTTATTTTTTTATTTATTTGACGTATTTATTGAGTAGGTTATATTAAAATATAAATATAAGATATTTTATTTTTGCAAAACGTTTTTCAAGTCCATTTGCTCAATTAACGATATTATAACAATCCTCTGATATCTCATTTCTATCTAATGCCTATAAATAAGTCGAAATGACTACCACTTATTCTGATTACTTCTGATTTATCTTTGACACAAAACTTTCGCAAATTGAAGGTTGAGTCGCTAGAATTATAATTTGGCTTGAACTTACTTATTTTCGTAAATTTAGCTTCCAATAAATTTTATTGAAGAGAAGTTATTTTACCCATAGACAGCAATTAGTAAGATACTCTAGATATTAATTTATTGTATCCGCCGAAGCGAAAATACAAGTTATGAATATTAATTCAATCATTCATGGTCTTAGTTGTGGGGTATTAGGAAAATTGTTAGGAAATTAGTGTTTTCATCATTTTTAATGGGTAAGTAATAATTCTGTTTATTTGCCGTTTATAGGTCTTCCTGGTCAAATTAAAATAAAAGATTTGGACGTTTTAAAAGTGCCTTATTATGGATTAATTGAAATAAATGATTTGTATATGATTCAGTTTGCTGAGGGCCGATTTTTCTAACGCCAGTTAAATTTTGACTGAGGAATAACTTTGAATATTTGATAATTCTTCCATACTAAAATTTGTCAAATTTCAATTTTATTCTACAGCTAAAAATTTATGTGTTTAAGTGACGATTTATGTATACACATACAACATAAAGGACAACACTTATATAAAATTGAAGTACAAAGGTACCACCTATTCCCATTGGAATTTCTTCCTGTGGACCTGGGGCAGGAAAAGTAATAATGATATAATGAAATAATTATGATTAACCTGTTTATTGCAGAAAAGGTTCATAGTCCTGAGAACTGTCCCTAGCTGTTGGTGATGATGATGATAGTCTTTCTGCACGAAATAGAATAGGCATGATGACAGGGTGTAAAAATTAAAAATCTAATTAGTCCATCAGTTAGGTAAATATTAAACAGGTTTTTTTAAATGTCATACAAATAAAAAATATTTACATACAACGAATCAAAGTTTAGGAGTGGGAGCGAAAACGTCATTTCTACGTATAAAACGTACCTAGAAGTGACGTCACGTGATATTTCAAATCAATATATCGTCGAAAGAATTTTCTGTAAGTAAATAAAAAATGTGAGTGTTATGTTTTAAAATAATACCAGACGCACGTTAAAGTAGAAAACAGTCATCTACCCAATTGGATCTGTTAAGTTTAATATCAGCCACAAGTCCAGCAAAAAGGTCTGTTGCCAATGATGAAACCTCAAGATCAATAACAGTATTTCTAAAAAGATCATATACCTAGCTGCCAGACAATCTGTTTTCCTTATAAGAGTTTTCCAACTAATACTTTGAGCGGCACGATGTTGCCCTACATGGTGTGAAGTGTTGCCTGTACTTGTTTTCGCACTATCTGTTATTTGACCTAGCTTTTGTCTTATTTCTTCGTTTTAGTTTGTCTAAAATATGAGGTCTGTTGAATGAAGGACCATTTGGCTTCTATATTACGGGTTCGATTCCCGGGTCGGGCAAAGTATTACTGGGTTTTTTCAAATATTTCCCAGCAGCAGCAGTAGTCTGGAATTGTGCCCGGCATATGGCAATAGGCGTGAGCCTATAATAGGGAGTGATCCCTGTTACATTAATAGTGAAAAGTGGGTGTTATATTGTACAGTGCCATTAAATGCCGTAATGTACCTCTACCTACCCCTTCGGGTAGAAAAGAAGTGATGTTATGCTGACATCTTGCTAGGCTTGCACTTGAAAATGCTCAATCAACCAGAGAGAAGCAGAACCTTAAAATTTTATAGTTATTATTTTGGAATCTAAAGATATTTTTCTATAATTGTCAAATTGAATCTACTATTAAGATATTCATTCTAATTTTAATCACAAATAAAAAGAAGAAGGATATCGTTGATGCCACTGATAAATGATAACGTCTGTACTAAATACTTTGGGCGAGTGATACGTTCTCTTTCATTAGACGAACTAGAGTCGAGTACACATGATGGGAAAGGTAAAACGAAATTATTGGCGAGCTTTAAAATAAAAAAGAAATAAATGATGTGAATAAGTAGATCCAAATGCTTTTATAATAACTATCCTTACTTCTTTACTATATAATATTATAAATCGGAAAGTGAGTTTGTTTGTTTGTTCCGACTTCACGCCGTAACTACTAAACCGATTGCATTGAATTTTTACAGACGTAAAGTTAGTAGTCTGGATTAAATAATAGGGTACTTTTTATCCAAAAAAAATTGATATTCTCGAGGGAAAACAAAAGTATTGGTATAGATGGAGCTGTACGTATTGCTATATGTCCCATAGGCTACTTTTTATCCTTTTGTGACGCGAGCGAAGCCGCGGGTAAAAGCTAGTGTTTTTATAATAACTATTTATTTATTTAGTTAATTTAGATCAAAATGCATCAAATATTCACATTTTTATTAATTATAAAAGAAATATGCAAAAGGAGTGTGGAAACAAATTTAGAGAAAAATGTATATTAGAGTTTAGAAATGAGAGTTCATTACATCATAACATGGTATAAAATGTGACGTCATATAAAAGAAAAAAAAATATAAAAACATCAATATTATACTGTAACATTTGAGAAGCAAAAATATCATTGTTTTCCAAAAATACACATCGGACCTCTTATCCTAATCAATTCCTTAACCAAAATACAATCAGTAGTCCCAGAGTTAATATTGACTGTGTTATACTTGTTCGCAGCCAAGTCTTATAAAGATTTATTTGCAATTAGACCATCGACCGATAAATTGCTTCGGTTTCTTCCGAGTTTGAGCTTGTACAAGGCGGCAAAGTTTTCTCAGTTAATTTCTACAACTTGGCAAGTTTTCTGCCAGTACGTCCACAATGCTTATTTCAAATAGTTGTTCTTTGAAATTCGATTAGTGTTGTGTTAATAAATGGATTGATTGTTTTATGACTGTTGTTGGCTGTGCTTTTTGGGGTACTTTGATTTTGTTGGTAGATTTTCTGTTATTTTTCTTTGCATATCGTGTTTTGCTATATCTTGGACAAAATAGGCTTAATGATTGTAAAGAAACAAGTTCATGTGAGCAGTTTTCTTTGAATGGAGCAATTTTTTTTCATATTATAGCAATCTTTTACTGATTTATTAGGTTCAGTACACCCATTTTACATTAACACGCAAGCATTTTTAAAACTACAAATTAAAATGTTCCTTCTCTGTCTCTGGAGCTAAGTTAAAAACTGGATAAGCATTAAAGCCTTCTTGGTATTATTGAACAATTATTAAACACCACGATGATCTTATAGTAAAGAACTTTTAAGAGACCGTCTTTGAAAGAATCTCATCTAGCAATAGACAACAAAGTAGACATCAGTGTGTACCCACCACAACATACCTGACCGACTTGAGAGTTTGATGGATGTGGCACGATCGCGATGCCATTATACAGTTTTGTTAGATATACTTTTTTTTGTACAGTCGCCAGCAGATCAAGCTCCTCCAATCTGTCAATTTCATTCATTGGATTTTCGACTTTATGTCAATAGCACAAAATGTTGAAAATGTAATAAATAAATTTGACAGTAAAGGATAGGTTTCACATGCTGGTGACGGTACGCGGTAGTCAGAGGAGAACGCAGTCTGTATTAACGATTTTATTTAGAGTATTTGTTTTAGTTGTTTTGTTATGAAATGTTTTTTTTTTGAAGACGTAGATGATCGCGGATGTTATTTATCAAAAGGATGGGTGGAGTAGGTGCCATTGAATTGGAGTTGAGTCAATTGTTTTGTACCAGACGAACGAACATAGAATTCGCTATGTAATTAACAATAATAAGTACTTAAATAATATGTACTCTAAGTTACATGATACGACAGATATATCTCATGACGTCAAGTATGGCAGAGCCATTCTTCAGCACGAGTTGGCTGGCTTGACCTCAGTGATGATGACACAGAAAACCGACGTGAAACAACGCTTGTGATTTGTCGTGTGAGTGAGGTCTCCCCAATTCCTGAATCCTCCACAATCCTCAAAATCCCAATTCCCAAAAGACCGGTAACGGGCGGGGCCGTTTGCTTACCATGAGGCGATCCGTCGGCTCGTTTACTGGCTTATACCTACCATAAAAATCAATATTGTTTTTAACAAGATTACCTTATTCAATCCAACGCTGGACCTCAAATTCGCACGCAAGATTGTTCATAATCAGCACATCTAGTATTAAAATAAATACTAAGTAGTACATGAAAGCTCACAGAGCTAAAGCAGAAACTATGCTTTCCCTACTTTCAAAGTCCTCTCTATGTAAACGTGCCAATACTGGAATATTTAAAATAACATTGAGAAATCTTGATACGTTGGATAAATCGGTACTCTACGTCTTGAGCTTTTCTATTCTGCATAAGCTATTTGATTGCAAAACATTTCAATATAGGTTTTTTTTTTTTAACGGGGGGAGTTTAATATAATATAATTTCATAAAATAAGTTTCAATTAGAGATTTCGATGATAATGGATTTATATTGTCCAGTTTGATGTGATACCTCTGTTTAGGGTTATTGACTGGCGCGTGGCACTCGTGACTATAGTAAACAAAAAAAAACTTCTACCTTATCTAGTATCATTATTGTTTTTGA